CCACCACCATCATCATCATCATCATCAACAATCATCAGCATCATCATCATCATCATCACCATCATCATCATCATCATCATCATCATCATCATCATCATCATCATCATCATCATCATCATCTTCATCTTCATCAGCATCATCATCATCATCATCATCATCATCATCATCATCATCATCATCATCATCATCCTGCTCCTCATCATCCTGCTCCTGCTCCTGCTCCTGCTCCTGCTCCTGCTCCTCCTCCTGCTCCTGCTCCTCCTCCTTCTCCTCCTCCTCCTCATCATCATCCCCTCTCCTCCTCATCCTCCTCCGCCTGCGGAGAAGGTCAGAGATCAAGCCCAGATGTGTTGCCAATCACGGCAGGGGCGGCGTGCGGACTGCGGGGCGAAGGCCAGGAACGCAACGGGTCCCTGTATCGGCGACAGGCGCGGGTCACCCTGGCCAGACGTGAGGGGCTAATTGGACAATGGTGGAAGCGGGCAGAGCCATTTGAGCGAAGGTGGGTGGCATGAGAGCATACCCTGCTGGCACAGACTGATCGGCGCTATGCTCAGCTGCACGACTCAACACACGAATAGAGCCTGTCGGTGGCTCAACAGGAGAACTCACTGGATCCCATACTGTTTCATCATCCACGTCATCGCGCACGTGAAATGACCAAAAGGCACCCCCAGCCGTAGTACCACTCGGGATTACATCGGGCCCGTCACTCGACGGCGTATTGTGAACATGAGATCGGTGCTCTTTGGTCCATCCTTCCCCCCGCTCACCAAGCAGATGCAATCATGCGGTGCAATGCTCTGTTCAATATGATCACTTGCGCTCTTGTTGATTAAGAGCAACAAAGGGGGCACACCAGCCACGACAGGAAAAGTGTGCGCAGCTGTTTCATGACACCTCTGCATGCTCTGGCATCGAATGGAACCTGCGTAGGTCAACTTGCTCCGCCCCTGCATCCAATACCAGGCTTCCCTCCCTGTCGCAATGTGATTGGCAATCATATTGCCGATCCAAGAAATCGGCGAAAGGATGCTGCTACCAGGGAGGCACAACTTGCGCACTTCTCGCTCCAGAGGCAAACTGGGTCTAATTATACCGATCATACGCGGTACACTGGCAATCCCCAGATAAGTTGCGTCCTTATCACGTATGGCAATGATGTTACTGACGATCCATGCATTTTCTGTTCAGTCTTGCCCGCAGCAAACTCGCGGAGCCAACGCAATTCCGGACAACGGCTTGCACTGATGTGCCCAGTTTGCCGAACACATAACGGACCCATGCTCCGCTTGCGTCGGCCCTGTCTTTTCTGCGTGAGATGTCATGGTTTCTGATAGCCCAGGGGGGCTACCTCAAAGTTATGGCAGGGGGCAGCTTCGCGCCAGGTCGACATGCTTGTTGAGTAGTCCGCAATGGTGAAAACCTCAAGATCAAGCAAGACACGGCATTGAACCTAAACGGTAATAACATATACAATCATACACCTGTCGGCGGCGAGCGAGGGAGGGAATGAGAAGGAGAAGGCCTTCTCAGAAGGCGGCGGGACTTCTCAGAAACCTTCGCCCCTTCTGATACATTGTCTGCGTCTTCTGGGAAGCATCAGAAAACGTCCAAGAACGCCGGGGGACTTCCGCGCCTTCTGTGAAGGCCCGCCCACTCTCACTTTCCCCCCGGGCTGGCCGCCGAAGCTGTGCAGGCAGCTGCTGGCAAGCAGCACGCAGCAAAGGCAAAGGCAAAAGGCCCAGGCGACAGACCGCTGCGAACTGCACGCGCGCGTGCGCGGGCAGGCAGCGGGAGCACGGGCCCAACAGTTCAGCACGGCACGGGCACAGACAGACGTGAAGGCGCCCAAGGACACACAAACAAACAGACGCAAATCCCAGGACTCCCCATATCTTTCCATCGTTTCTAGAATTTCGTCGACCCTTCCACCTCCCATATTTGTCCGTGTCTTCCTGGAAGCCGACCATTACTTCTGTGTGTTTTTGTCCCTCCTGCTTGGGGGGGCGGCATTGTCGGGGATCTTCTTACCCGGGTCAATCCAGACCCAGGTCAGCAGGAAACCAAAAACTGCAATGCAAGAAAAAAAAGCTGCAGCGCAGGTCTTTGCAAACCCAGGTCAGCCAATAGGCGCGGCCGCCTCGCGGCCACGAGCGGCTCGCTAACCCGGGTCAGCCAGAGGGGATCTTCACAGGATCCTGCAGGATCCGGTGCCCTGGCTGACCCCCGTTTGCACTGACCCCGTCTCCTAGGCCCCTACATTGAGCTGAGCGGCCGAACGAACGCCGGCACTCGCGCACGCTCCGCCTGAGAGACCGCCCGCGCCCACGATGGGCGGGGCGCGGAGGCCGCGGCCTCGAAGGTGCGGACCCGCCGCCTCTCGGAGAGAAGCCGGGAGGGGGGGGCGGCACCTGCAGCCCGTGTGCGGAGTCCCTTTTGTGGCTCGGCGTCGGCGACTCCGCAAGGCGTGGTTTGCAAAGGGTGTGGTTCGCAACCCGCGCCCCGGGTTTTTCCCGGAAAGGGCTTAGGCAGAGGAGGAGGCAGAGGAGGAGGCAGAGGAGGAGGAGGCAGAGGAAGAGGCAAGAGAACAACCAGAAGCCGAAAGATACGAGCCCCCCGTGGAACGTATCCGCCCCGCGGCCCGGGGGGGGGGAGGCGGGCGAGGACGTCGATGGAGATCGCTGCCGCGCCCCGACGAGGGCTCATCAGACCTTCGGCGCAAAGTGACGACCCCTGAGCCCCAACGGCGCCGACCGGCACCCCCACCCTGGCGGAACCACACCCGCTGAAATTGCCGACAGGTGGCAGACTGGCCACGGGTGATCCAGGGACGCTGCGAGCTCCGCGGTCTGCGGCAGTGGGCGAGCGGCCGCGGGCGGAGCGGCAACCGGCCAGGGGCCGCGGCTGACCGCGCCCCCGGCTTCCTGGCTTCCGAGCTATGGACAAGACAGCCCTTCTTTGGCCTCCTGGGCGCCGAGACCGCACACGACCCGCACGCGGATATCCTCCCCTTCTCATACCAAGCCTACACTGGATCGAATCGCGAGGTCGGACTGGAAACAGGTCGGATCGCCAGCGAACCGTCCCAGACCAGAACGAGATCGGATCGCCGCGTCTGGCTCTGGCTGGCCCCGGCCGACGTCGGTCCGTCGAGCCGAATCGGAATCTGGACCCCGGCCGGCGAATCGAATCGCATCGAATCGAATCGCAGGCGGCCATGCCTGCCAACTGCCTCCCCTCCACACCTCTCCTCCCGTCTGCCTCCACTTTTGGAGGGCTGGAAATGGGCACCAACACCAACACAGGGTGTTGCCTCCACAGGGGGAAGATGATCCTAGATTTCGGTGTTGGTGGTAATATTTCGGTCACCTTGGAAGCCAGAATATTACCACCATCACCGAGATCGGGATCTTCTTCCCTCGGTGGAGGAACACCGCCGATCTTGGTGTTGGTGTCAACCTCTCGGCCGGCCCGCGGTCCTCGCGCATGCAGGACAGCACGTCGGCGGGCGCGCTCAGCGAGCCCTGGCGGCACCAGAACCTGGCACGCTCCAGGCGCACCCACGGGCCCCGCCCTGCCACATCACACTGAGGAATGAGGCGGAGGAGCAAAAGGACAAGGCAAAGAGCACGAAAAGAAACAGAAACGGTAAAAGGAGGAATGAGCAAAGGATAGAGAAGGGACATATATATACAAACATACATACATACATACATACATACATACATACATACATACATACATACATACATACATACATACATGCATGCATGCATGCATTACATACATTACATACATACATACATACATACATACATACATACATACATACATACATACATACATACATACATACATACATACATACATACATTCATACATACATACATGCATGCATACATGTATACATACATACATACTTACATACATACATACATACGTACGTACATACATACATACATACATGCATACATACATTGCATTACATACATACATACATACATACATACATACATACATACATACATACATACATACATGCATACATACATACATACATACATACATACACACACACACATACATACATACATGCATACATACATACATACATACATACATACATACATACATACATACATACATATTGGAGCAGAGCTGTCGCACATGCAGAACGTCTTTGCTGCAATAATCGATTGCGCTTGTGTGGGCTATCATGGTCCTGGGCCCTGGCAAGTCGTGCCCGCGCATCACGTGGAGTGCGGGTCGGATCTCGGTGCATAACACGTCCTGTGATGCCGCTCTTCCATGACGCCTCGCCTCCAAACAGGGAGCGAGAGAGAGAGAGAGAAGAACAAACAACAAAAAAAAACACGAGGACGAGGGTACAATGCGGGCGCGACCGCAAGAAACCCTCGCAGGAAACCCGGCCCTGAAAACACGCACGCGAGGTGCACCTGAGGTGTAAGCCCCCCGAGCACCCTGAACGCAGCAGCTTCTTCCACGGCTGCGGGAAGCCACCGCGCAGCGCGCGGAGCGAAGAAACCCAGGACACCCTGGCGAAAAGCACAGGGTTCCTCGATGCGCGCCCCCCCTGCAGGAGGAGGTTCGGGACGACTGGGCCGGCCGGTGCGAGGGCGACCCCCCGAGCGCCACAGGAAGCCGTAGTTCGGGTCCGCGTACGCGCACTGCACCTCGAGCTCGGCCAGGCGCAGGCTCGGAGCACCGCCGCCCTCGCCTGCGCGCGCCGCGGCCGAGCGCGCCGACGGAGCCCGGGCACCCCCGAACTCGCAGCTTCGTCGCCCAACTCGCAGCTTCCCCCCCCCCTCCTCTTCGGCCTCCGGTGTGTCGGCGGCGAGCCACAGGGGAGAAAAGAGAAGGGGCGGGCCTTCTCAGAAGGCTCGGAAGTCCCCGGGACTTCCGAGGACTGTTCCAAGCCTTCCTCGAAGACACAGGGAGCCTCTCAAAGGCCAGAGGGCTTCTGAGAAGCCCCGCCGCCTTCTGAGAAGGCCGTCTCCTTCTCACTTCCCCCCCTCGCTCGCCGCCAAGTATGCGTGTCCATGCAGCGAACAGGGTGGTTTCACCCTCGCCGCCGACTGGTGCGATCGTTCGGAGGATGCGCGTCATGGCTGTCATGGCTTCCAATCTCGCATTTCCCGCGAGCGGGGCGTGAGACTCCGTGTCGCCCGAGAAGACTGATGGTCTCCGCTCTTCACCTCTCTCCTCTGTTCCCTCTGCTCTCCTCTCTCCCACATGCCCCGCCTCTCACCGTCGGACCGTCCTCTCCTCTCTCCCCTTGTGCTTCTCCCCCACGTTCGTTCCCTTCCCCCTCTCTCCCATCCCTCCGCTCCCCACTTCGTCCCTGCTTCGCCGGCATTCGTTAATTTGATCGGAGACAAAGCAGAGACGGACAACAAGGGGGGCGAAGTAGTCTGGGGGAGAGATATGTAGGGACCGAACTCGCACATGGAAGCTGGCAACTGTTGTCAGGCTTACCAACAAATATTGGAGCGCGAAGCTGGAGAAACTGGCCAGGGCTGAACAGAGCCCAAAACCTACCACTCTACCCACCCCCTCCCTTGGGGAGCGGCGTATCGCCTGCAAAACCAAAATGGATAGCATATCCCCTGCACGGATCGCTGTTCTGAGAAGGTGCTTTCCTACACATCTACCTTCCCTGAATTCACTCACTACATGCCGCCCCACAATCTTCATGTACACATCTACCTTCCCTGGATTTGCTCACTTACTTGACTTGGATGTACTCTTCATCGTTCCAAATCCGCCAAGCCGTCATCGCCTGCGCTGCCGTCGTGGCAGAGGTCTGCCGCGGAGGTCGCGCTGAAGTCGAGGCGCCCCAGACGGAGCTCGTCGGCGACGGCCTCCCGACGCATCTTTCGCTCGGCGAGGCGACAGCAGGAACGAGACACAATCGGACCCTCTCCTCCTCCTCCTCCTCCTCGATCTCCTCCTCCTCCTCCTCCTCCTCCTCCTCCTCCTCCTCCGCCTCCTCCTCCTCCTCCTCCTCCTCCTCCTCTCACTTCCTCCTGCTTGCTCCGCCTCCTCCGCCTCCTCCTCCTTCTCCTCCTCCTCCTCATTCGTTTTCCTCCCGCTGCCCCACCATTCGTTTTCCCCCTCCTCCTCCCTTTCCTCCTCCTCCTCCTCCTCCTTCCTCCTCCTCCATTTCCCTCCAACCCCTTTTCCTCCTCCTCCTCACTCCTCCTCCTCCTCCTCCTCCTCCTCCTTCCTCCTCCTCCTCTCACTTCCTCCTGCTTGCTCCGCTCCTCCGCCTCCTCCCTCCTCCTTCTCCTCCTCCTCTGTGAATTCGTTTCCTTTTCCTCCCAAATCCCTCTCCAATTCGTTTTTCCTCCTCCTCCCCTTTCCTCCTCCTCTACTTTCCTTGCCCTCCTCCCCCTCCTCCTCCTCCTCCTTTCCCCCCCCCTCCTCCTCCTCCTCCTCCTCCTCCTCCTCCTCCTCCTCCTCCTCCTCCTCCTCCTCCTCCCCCCCTCTTTTTTCCCGGAAAGGGCATAAACCCAGGGTTCTCTTTTAGTTGGTTTACCTCCGGGTTTGACTTGAGGTGGGCCGGCGAAATTCTTTTGCGATGAATATCGAGGTCGAGGTGGGCCGGCGGAATTATTTTTGAGGATGTCCCGAGCGAAACGCTTGTCGTTCAGAATTGGTTGAGGATGTCTCGCGAGAAACGCTGGTTTTGCAGAGTTGGGGAATGTCTCGAGCGAAACGCTTGTTCCCAGAAAGGGCAGAAGCCAGGGTTCTCTTTTAGTTGGTTTACCTCCAGGTTTGACTTGAGGTGGGCCAGCAAATTTCTATTGCGATAAATATCGAGTTCGAGGTGGGCCGGCGAATCAAAATTTGAGGATGTCCCTAGCGAAACGCTTGTTTTTCAGAATGTGTTGAGGATGTCTCGAGCGAAACGCTCGTTTTGTATCATAGCTTGTCCTCTCCTGTGGACCTGAATTCAGAGGATCTCTCAAGTGAAATGCTTGTTTTCATGTACCCAGGTCTTGAGGATGTCTCGAGCGAGACGCTTGGTTTCACGCCTCCAGGTTGCCCAGACAGATGTCTAGCATGAGGATTTGTTGAGGATGTCTCGAACCCGAGGGTTGTTTTCACGTGTCCAGGTCGCCCAGGCGGATGTCTAGCATGAGGATGTGTCGAGGAAGTCTCGATCGAGACGCTTGTTTGCACTTGTCCAGGTTGCCCAGGCGGATGTCTAGCATGATGATGTGCTGAGAACGTCTTGAGCGAAACGCGTGTTTTCACGTGTCCAGGTCGCCCAGGCACAGCACAGCACTCGGCACGGTACATCAATATCGATACCCTTAGCATTGCAGCCTGGCATGTTGCCTGGCACGTTCCGCGGAGCGTCTTGTGGCAAGTCCCCCTGGCACGTCGCGCGGTGCACGTCCATTGGCACGTTCCGTAGCGCGTCCCCTTGGCACGTCCCGCGGTGCGTGCCCATGGCACGTCCCCTGGCACGTCGCCTGGCGCGTCCCTTGGGACGTTCCGCGGCGCGTCCTCCTGGCATGTCCCCCTGTCGATGAGTTATGGGGCAGCTACCATCTGCTCAGGCAGCTCGAGCTTAAGATCCAGATCAGTTCGGTCAGGACTCGAATGCCAGGGAGGACTCGATCCACAACGCTATATAGAGCACAATCGCGGCAGGGCGCATCGCAGTTCAGCACGGCCAGCACAGCGCAGCCGTCGGCACGGTACATCAAAATCCACAACGCTATATAGAGCACAATCGCGGCAGGGCGCATCGCAGTTCAGCACGGCCAGCACAGCGCAGCCGTCGGCACGGTACATCAAAATCGATACATTCAACATTGCATCTTGGCACGTTCCCTGGCGCGTTCCTTGGCGAGTCCACCTGGCACGTCGCGCGGTTCGTCCCCTGGCAAGTCCCGAGGCACGTCCATTGGCACGTTCCGTAGCGCGTCCCCTTGGCACGTCCCGCGGTGCGTGCCCATGGCACGTCCCCAAGCACGTCGCCTGGCGCGTCCCTTGGGACGTTCCGCGGCGCGTCCTCCTGGCATGTCCCCTCTGTCATTTGGTTCTGGGCAGCTACCATCTGCTCAGGCAGCTCGAGCTTAAAATCCAGATCAGTTCGGTCAGGACTCGGATGCCAGGGAGGTCTCGATCCACAATGCTATATAGAGCACAATCGCAGCATGGAACATCGCAGTTCAGCACGGCGTAGCACAGCACAGCCCTCGGCACAGTACATCAAGATCGATACATTCAGCATTGAATTTGCCCGTCGCCCAACCAAGTGTCTCTGAAACGTTGCCATGACTTGCATTTCTATATTCCTTTCCGGGTTTGTGGGTCGATCATGTTTGTCTCCGTCTGAGTGTCGAAATTCGTAGTGATATTGTTCTTATGAGTCATGGAAATACTCTTTTTAGTATTATGGTTGTGTCTCTCAGTGGTATTAATATTAGGAGTATTGGTATTATTCTTATCCGTATCGTCATTGCTAGTACCCTTGACATTGTTATTACGAACATCAGTAGTAATGTTCTCATAGTTGGTATTATTATACATATTATTACATATTATTTTGGTTCTAAGTATGAATCGTATCAATTGGTTGACTCCCATTTTCCGGCTTATTCTTCTTAATCATACTACCAATCATAATGCGAGTATTATCATTAATCTTCTAAGTATGAGTATTCGTATCACCCGTCTTCGTCCAAGCCTTGAAATTGGTATGATTAGTATTACGGTTCGTAATTTGTCGTGTCTTCTTGTAAACCGTTCAAGAATTACGAGGTGTAGCGTGATTTTTCCCATTCGTGTTGTGTACCATCAGTCTGGCAATTCGAATTATTCACACTATTTGCTTTTAAATAGTCTTGGTCATAGTCTTAATCTGCGTACGTTTATTCATGCTGCTAATATTACTCGCCGTACGGTTATTCTTAACACTCATATTAGTATTGGTACGTTTGCGATCATTCGAATCAACAATGGTATCGTAAACGGTAGTTTTATTGATAAATAGACTTAAACATGCACGTACGTGTCTTAATTGTATCATCGTTCGCACTACTCATATTCGCTATGCTAGTATTATTATGTGGCTCGTAGTGTTCATCTTCGTGAGAAGTATTGCTGCTATCATTCTTGTTGTTATAATAACCATTCACCGCGTTCCGCCTTCTCATCCTCAGATTCCTTCTCCTCCTCCTGCTCTGCCTCCTCCTCCTCCTTATCATCCACCTCCTCCGTTTCCTCCTCATCCTTTTCCTCCTCCTCCTCCTCCTCCTCCTCCTCCACCTCTTACTCTTCCTGTTCCTCTTCCTCCTCCCCTTCCTGCTCCTCATCTTGTCCATCTTCCTGCTTCCCCCATCCTCCTCCTCCTCCTCAACCTCCTCCTCCTCCTCGTTCCTCCTCTTCCTCCTCTTCCTCCTCCTTCTCCTCCTCCTCCTTCTCCTCCCCTCTTTCCCCCTCCTCCCCCTCCTCCTCCTCCTCCTCCTCCTCCTCCTCCTCCTCCTCCTCCTCCTCCTCCTCCCTCTTCTTCAAAGTATTCGTCTTCGTATGATTATGATTGTTGGGATTATTCGCATGAGCCATCGCAGTATTCGTTTTCCTAGTGTGTTTCATATTATGGGTATCATCCTCATCCTCCTTCTTGTCCTCCTCATCCTCCTCCTCCACCTCTTCCTCCTCCTACTCCTCCTCTTTGTCCTCCTCCTCTTCCTCCTCCTCCTCCTCCTCCTCCTCCTCCTCCTCCTCCTCCTCCTCATCATCATCATCATCATCATCATCATCATCATCATCATCCTCATCAGCATCATCATCATCATCATCATCATCATCATCATCATCATCATCCTAATCCTCATCATCTCATCATCTCAGCATCATCATCATCATCATCAATCATCATCAATCATCTCATCATAATCAATCGTCATCATCATCAGCATCATCATCATCATCATCATCATCATCTCATCATCAGCATCAATCATCATCTCATCACTCATCAGCATCATCATCATCAGCATGATCATCATCATCCCGATTCCTCAATCATCATCATCAGCCCAGCATCAGCATCATCATCATCATCCATCTCCGCATCATCATCATCATCGTCATCAGCATCATCATCACATCATATCATCATCATCATCATACGCATCATCCTCATCATCCCTCATCCTCATCATCTCATCAGCATCAGGCATCATCATCATCATCATCATCATCATCATCATCATCGATCACATCCTCGTCATCGTCAATCATCATCATCATCATCATCGTCATCATCATCTCATCATCCATCATCATCATCAGCATCATCATCATCACCACCACCACCAATCATCATCATCATCATCAACATCGCATCATCATATCATCGTCGTCGTCACAGCATCATCATCATCATCAGCATCAGCATCATCATCATCAGGCACCGTCGTCTCATCAATCTCATCATCAGCATCATTCACAGCATCATCATCCTCATCATCATCATCATCAGCAGCAGCATCATCATCACCACCACCACCATCACCACCACCACCACCACCACCATCACCACCACCACCACCACCATCATCATCATCATCATCAGCATCATCATCATCACCATCATCATCATCATCATCATCAGCATCGTCATCAGCAGCCGCAGCAGCAGTAACATCATCATCATCATCAGAATCATCATCAGCAGCATCATCAGCATCGTCATCAGCATCTTCATCTTCATCATCATCACCATCATCATCAACATCATCATCATCGGCATCAGCATCATCATCAGCATCAGCATCAGCATCAGCATCAGCATCATCATCAGCATCACCATCATCATCAGCAGCATCATCATCCTCAT